GGGGTAGGGGGGAAGAGGTACCAGGTTTGCTGTTCTGATAGAGCCTGGTGGAACCACTGAGACTATGGCCCCCAGATGGCCTTCAGGTCTGAAATTGAACCCACACCTGTGGCTTGCAGCCAAACAAAATGCAGACATATGAGTTGAACATTTACCTGAGGTAGAGACACTCCTTGGAGAAATCAATCATGGAAGAAAGAAGGGCTGTTTATGCCAGGGAGACAGCTCAGTGGGCAGGAGTGCATGGAGAGATGGACACAGGGAAGAGGTAACTATCAGGAGGAAGTGGGAGGGGAGCTGCTGCATTGGGGTAAATTGCAGTCAATGTCATGAGACAAAGTGTATGTGAACTACTGTACGGAAAGTGAATTTGCTCTGTAAATTTTCACCCAAATCACACACACACAAATTTTGTGCAGTGTTTTGGCAGAAATTTATTACTTTTATAAAAATAGCCCTCTGGAAGGCTGGCGGATCAAACCCACCAGCCACTCCTCAGAAGGAAGGTTGGGCAATCTACTCCCCTAGTGACACTGCCTCAGAAACTCAAGGAAGGGTCGCTATGAGTCGGGTCCGACTCAACGGCACATAACAACAAGTTAGTTATAGGGAGCTCTGGTAGTGTAGTGCCAAAGGCACTTGACTGCTAACCAGAAGGCTGGAAGTTTAAACCCACCAGCCGCTCCTCAGAAGGAAGTTTGGGCAATCTACTTCCGTAGTGATACCGCCTCGGAAACCCAAGGAGGGGTTGCTGTGAGTCGGGTACGACTCGATGGCACACAACAACAACAGTTCATTATAACAACAGAAACATGTTTCCTAAACCCAGCTTACATGTATCAATATACCTACAAGGCTAAAACTCGATGCTGATTTACTTTTTGAACCTTCTAATGTGCTCTGGTCAGAGCTGTCATTCTTACCCAATTAAAATGGCACATTGAATCGCATGGTTTCACCTGCACATGGTACAAGCATGTACTGCTGTTTTCGTTGTTGCGGGTGTTTTCAGTCACCGATTTTGTGACTGAAATTTTCTGGTGTTTTAGCTACAATATTGTGGTAATTAGTATTTGTGAACCTATAGCAATCATTTTTTTTTTTTTTAGAATAAAGTTGTAATTAAAGGAAAAGGAGGAGAAAAATAAAGGCTTCTGCTCAGTTACTAATAATGTAACTAATAATGTTGTAATTCAATGTAGAAAGATTTACAAAACAATTTTGTTATTAGTATTCATATAATCTAAGAAATACTACATTTAAGCAATTTACAACTTTATTTATCATGTATTATTCTATGCTAAAAATTGATAAGAAACATTACTAAGGATTCTGGTGGTGTAGTGCCTAAGGCATTTGACTGCTAATCAGAAGACTGGTAGTTCAAACCCACCAGCCACTCCTCAGAAGGAAGACTGGGCAATCTACTTCCATAGTGATACCACGTTGGAAACCTAAGGAGGAGTCACCATGAGTCAAATTAACTTGATGGCAGCAAGTTTGGTTTTGGTTTTTTTTGAAGGATTCTGTATGATCCGGGAAGGGAGGAGGTCCAGGGTGGCCAGGAGTGGTGACACCAATCCTAGTTATGTCACTGAATCATACAAGTACAGATTGGCTAATTTTCCTTCTATTTTCTTTCTTTCTTCCCCCAGCCCCACCCCCTTGGCTTCTTCTGTTTCCTCCAAAATACGGGCTTGGTTCAGACCAACCAGGGGAGGCAGGAGTCCTGTGCAGTTCCTCTACCTGGATCTAGGGTTAGGGCAGCAATGGATAGAGGCTTCTAGCTACTCTGCAGAACTGGAAGAGGTACAGAACAGGACAGGGTACAGTTAAGAAGTGTTAAGAGGGTCAGGTTCCTTGTCCAAGTGAGATTCCCACTGCTGAGGACTCAATCAGAGTAGAAGCTGGGAGGAGAGGAAAAACAAAGCTAGATGAGAAGAGCTGGAAAGGCCCCTGGGGTGGGGAGTTCCCTTTTCTATCCTATAGAGGAAGAAAATGAGTCTGGCAGAATAGTCAAAGACTTAGGTAAAAACAAGAGCCTAAAATGGGCACAGAGGCCAATAAGGTTTAAGAGAAATGACCCCACCCCCAGGCAGCTCCTATCCTAAATCCTAGGAGTATGACAGATCTGAATCCAGCTGTTGGGATTGGCAAGGTAGTCAGTCGCCTTAGGGAGAAGACTGACTTCATGATTTCAGCCAAAGACTGAGCAGTGAAGACAGTGACTGTTACCATGATCTAAGAACCTGAGAACCCTGCCTGCCAGACTCAGGGAAAGCTATAGTTGGGTAGGCTATTATCAGGTCTATCCTTTAAGGTGCAGGCGAAAAACAGCTCCTGGGAACCTTCCAGTCTCTCTAACTTCTCCTTCCTCCCCACACCCTCCCCATGCTGTTTTCTCCAAGGACCAAGAGTTGGGATCAGGAGGGGAAAAGCCTTACTGTGGAATCAGATTCCTGGTTACATCCCCATTGCATCCTGGCCACTCTTTAAGGCCTTGGTTTCTCAGGGCAAGATGGGGAGAAGTTGCTATGTAGAAAAACTTAAGGCAAAAGTAGCAGTTATCACTGCCATTTTATAACTCAGCCCTAGGGGCCATGGGTCCTGTTTCCACTCCACCCCAGCCATGCTACATTTTCTCTTGCAGCTGAAACTAGGCAGCTTGAATCTGGGCCTCTTCATTCTTCACTGGATCCTGGAGGGACAGAGTTAAGATGCAGCTCTGGAACCTGGTATGAAAAAAAGGGAGATATCAGGGAGGGGCAGGAGTCTGTTTTTCTCACTTCTCCTCCCATCTCACCCCAATGCAGCTTCAAGGCTGGGCAGCTTCTATCCCTGGATCTTATCAGGAGAAACTCCCTGCCCTTAATCCTGAGTTCCAACCACCTCAATGCCTCAGTTTCGTTGTGCTATATGACCCTAATGAGGCAAGATGAACTAAGGAAGTACTCTTTTAGGACTCAGTAGTGAAAAGTTCTCCAAGGGTCAAGTATGCCTAAGATATTCAAGCCACCCCCTCCCCAACCATTTACACGCAATTAAAACGTACTTGAGAGACTGGGTTCTGCTACCCTCTAGTGGTCAGAGCTGAAAGCACGCTCCCTGCCAATCAATCAAGCCTTCAAGCCATTACCACAAAATGTTGGTTTGGAAGACACCTAATGAATAAAGAAACCAACAGCAGATTTTACAAATGAGAAAACTGAGAAGACCTGGAGAGAAATGGTCACTCTGAGAGTCAGAGGTATAGTTGGGATGCAATCCAAACCTCCTAACCCCTAGGCCAGTGCTCAGTTCGCTTCCCCTTCCTTACGCTCTGACTTTTGCTTCTCCTTACCAGCTCATCCCTCGTGGTCTGTTCAAATCAGAAATCCCAGAAGCCAAAAGGACAGGGCCCCCTTTCGCCCCAACCCACCATCCGCGAAGCAACACCTGCACCTCAAATGTCACAATCCCGTTGTCGGTTCGCAGCTGAGGCAGCAGGGCTTTTTCTGAGGAGCTGCTGTCCCTCGACTTTCTGAGGTTAACAATCTTTTGGGATTTTTATTGACCTCGCACAGCTTCTGTCGCTATAGCGACACCACTGTACGGTTCCAGGTAGCTACCCAGGTCTCCTGTTTCCACGGTAACCGGTGCTTTGCGACCTTCAGTTTGCAACGGTCGCATTGCAGCTGCGGCAGTGGTTGCTGAGCGACGGTGGAGAGAAGCTGGGCATCGGTAGGAGGGCTCTTTCCAGGGAAACCTACGGGAGGCGAGGTGCCTGGACCCCATGTTGGAGCGCTGATCCCGAGGCCCTCTTCCCTACCCGCAGCCCATGGCGGTGGCGGTGCCTCCGAATGGGGCGGGGGGCTCGGGCTGGGCTTGGCGACCGGTGGCGCGGGACGCGCTTCTGGCGCGTGCGTATCATTCGTGCACTGAACTGCGGGGACGGTTCTATCTGGTGGGGGGTCTCCTAACCGGAGGGACGAAAGAGCCCAGCAGTGACACCGTTGCCTTCGATCCGGCTGGGGGCCAGGCGATGAGGCTGGAAGCCCAGGGCGGTCCGAGGCGCAGCCATCATGGCGCGGCGCCTGTGGGCGGGCGCTGGCTCTGCGTGGTGGGCGGCTGGGACGGGTCGCGCCGCGTAGCCGCAGTGTCCGCCCTGGACGTGGAGCGTGGAGTGTGGGAAGCGTGGACCGCGGCCCCTGGCAACTGCCCGCCTGCTGGCCTCAGTAGTCACACGTGCACCCGCCTTTCCGACCGAGAGCTACGGGTGGCTGGCCGGGAGGGTGGTACCCGCACCCAGCGCCGCTATGGAAGCATCTACACGTTAAAGCTGGACCCCGCCGCTCGCACCTATTGGTATGACACCCCCTACCCAAGACTCATCACTTTTCCTTATCCACACTCTGGGAAAGCAGAGATCAGATTTCACAAGTAATTTATCCACAACTGCACCCTAGCACCCTTTCTTGGGAACCTACCCATGTCTAAGAAGGCTGAATCTATTAGTATTTATTATTTTGCTTCCAGTCAGACCTACCACACTGAACTATGCCTCCTTTTTATCCTTGAGAAGGGGTAAGACCAGTCACCTGTTTAAGGTATGACAGATATGGCGCATGCCCTGGGCGCCCCATGAAGGGGATGCCACCGAGCAGTTTCTATTAACCCAGTACTGCCCAACGTCTTTCCTCCATCCAGCACGGTAGACATCCAGAGGTGTAGCGGGATGCAGAAGGGAGCGCTTTTTCCAGGTACAAGTTCAAAGGGATGCCACACAAGGCATGGGATGACATTGAGGTCCCATAAATATGAAAGGCACCTGAAGCAGCCAGACAAGAGGGTGGAAGGCGTTTCTGCTGACAGCATGCTGCTGTCACCATCTATTCATCTTTAAATTTTTTGGGGGGTAGGGTGGGGAGGCCGAAACTTAGAAATTGCCTCTGGATGCTCAAATTGCTGTTGGGGGGGTGGTATTTAGCGATTGCCCCAAACCCTCATTACCCTTGCTAAGTTCCTGCATGGGACTGAGGCAGTACAGCACTCTCATTTTCCAGGAAACTCAACTCAGGACTGAATTTCTGCACATCCACAGCTACAAAGAAGAAGGCTGCCACACGGCCTCACGCTCAGGACACTGTGCAGCCTTACTTCAAACTCCTGGGCCCCACCCAGCTCATCGGCTATTGCTCTTTGGGGGATGCAACTCAGCTGAACCAGAAGTAGCTGGGCATTGGAGTTATGGGAAGATTAAGGTATTATCTACTCACAACCTGCTTAGGGTAGAAGGCTAAAATTATAATCCCAAAATTTCTCCAGCCAGTCTCTTCCTTCTCCCCCAAGGAGGAACCACCTGTTGCCCCCCATTTGATGGAACAGATTGCAAGACTTGTGAACAGTGGGCAGGGGTCCCAACAGGGGCCCCGGGGACTGCGGCATCACTCGTGTTCCGTGGTGGGGCCCTTTGCTGTGCTGTTTGGTGGAGAAACTCTGACCAGAACTAGAGACATCATTTGCAATGACCTCTACATCTATGATACCCGTGAGAGCTGACCTAATTAATGGTTGAGGGGGGAAAAGGTGGGAAAATAGGAGAACTCAAAGAATGCAAAGAGGATGGAGTGACTGGGTAGGGAGGATTAGTATAAAAGATTAAAGGAGTCCATCTAGTGTTAAACATTTAAAAAGGAACACATATCAAGTAAGAAAAATAATGGGAAAACTTTGGGTCTTGTCAAGAGCCCCATGGGTGTCAATGTGTTTTTGTCTCTATAAGTGCCCTCTGCCCCTACTCAACAGGTAAATCTCCTTCTCTGTGGTTCCACTTCCCCTGTGCAGACCGTGGGCTGAAACGTGTGGGCCATCAGACCTGCCTTTGGAATGATCGTCTTTACCTGGTTGGGGGTTTTGGTGAGGATGGCAAGACAGCTAGTCCACAGGTTTGCATCCTGGACTTCCTTATCTAAAGAATAGTGGCAAGACACACTGCCAAAGCCTCTGTTTTGTTACAAACCCATAAAGCATTATCACCAGAGCTATCTGCCTCATTTTAAGTGCTTATTAAATTTCAATCTAAAAGTCAACATTTATCTCTAAATCTTTTTTGGGGAGGGTGGTAAGTAAGTAAATGCATCTTTATTTGCAAGGGAAAGGATAAAATCTAGGTCCTGTTCTGATGCTGTGAGTCGTTATCCTGGTGGAACCAAAACCCACAAATCGTGCTGTCCTCTGTCCCCAACATCATGCAGTGTCCACCCCTTGTACTAGGAGAAAGCTTCAGACTAAAGCTAAGCATTCTGACCAAAACATTTAATTAACAAAAAATATTACAATAGCAGAGAAAATAATAATAATAAAGAGAAATTAGAAGAAGTGGGAATCAGGGTAGAAAAAAAAGGCCAAGGCCTCGGTCCCTAGGAGACCAATACTCCGGCTGAGCTGGCCTTAGCCCCTGCTCCTTCTGAGTTTTCCTTAGATGCTGGCTTCTCATCTTCCCCCATGAGACGAATGTTGTGCTTTTCCCGGAATTCATTTAGTTCTTTTCCCTTTGCCTGAAGCTGCTGTGTCAGTGTTTCAATGATCTTCTGGATCTAGAGAGCAAGAGACGGGTTATAAAAAGAAGTCAGGACCCACTTCTCCCACTTGGTATGGATGATGGCTGGGAGAAGTGAAGGAGAGGTAACATCTCTCTCTAAACTCACCTATAACCAAGTGTTAATAATGGAGCCCAGACACTGCAGTTTTTCCTTTCTCAAACTTAGTATACATAAGGATCAGCTGGACTGCTTATTTATAAAATGTCCCTTCATGAGCTCCATTACCAAACATTCTGATTCAGTGGGTCCAAGAAGCTGTATTTTAAATTAGTCTGCCAGGGCTTTTGATGGAGGTACCTACCCATGGACCAAGGAGCCCTGGTGGCACAATGCTTAAGTGCTCAGCTACTAACCAGAGGTTGGCAATATGAACCTACCAGCTGCTCCATGGGAAAAAGATGTGGCAGTCTGTTTCTGTAAAGATTATAGCCTTGGAAATTCCATGGAGCAGTTCTACTTTGTCTAATATGGTCACTGTGAATCAAAATCAGCTTGATGGCAAACGATTTGGTTTTGGCTTATCCATGGACCACACTGTGAGAACAGTGCTCTAGCTCCCCACCCCCTGTTCAGTCACAGAACCCATGAAAAGTGGTAGACAACCAAGGAAATTCTATGCTGTTTGTTATCTTCCTCCACCACATTCCCTGACCATACCTTCTTCCTTACCCCCTTGTTGCCTAGAACTTCTGCTCAGGGATCCTTGCTCACCTGCTCCTTATTGTTCTCCAAGGCAGGAAGCACCTCTTTGACAGTCCGCTCCACCAGCACCCCTCCAACCATGCGGTAGCACTTGCGGGTTTCATCTACCTCCTTCAGCGTATCAATCACTAGGCTGGGGTTGGAGGACAAGGCAAGATTTGAGAATTCAGTCTTACTCTACTGTAACCCTCCCTCAAAATGGCCCATCTAACTTTCCTATTGTTTGCTTCTCCCCAATCTCCTCACCTGTGTTCATTCAACTCCATCTCCAACTCAGCTGCTTTGGATGCCAGGCCTCGCTGTTCCTGCCGAAGGCGGTTAAAGCCAGCTATTACCTGAAAAAGTGACAGGAGGTGAGAGAATGGACAGTGGAAATGGAAGCAAGTCAAGATAGTACATAGGGTAGCAGGTTTTGCAAAGGTGCCATAGTGGACCTTGGAAAAGGAGAATACAAGTTTGCAATTTCTAACTTAAATCTACCTGGAATTCCATTCACCAAATGCTTGCTGAGTGCCTACTGTGTGCCCAATACTTGCTAGGCACTGGGGAATGTAACAGAATAGATTTGGCCCCTGGCTTCCTGAAGCTTATAGTTTGGTGGAGAATGTTGTTGTTAGTTGCCATAGAGTCAATTCCAACTTACAGCAACTCCATGTGTGACCTTTCAGAAGCAGACTGCCAGGCCTGTTTTCCCAAGGCAAGTTCTAACCGCCAACCTTTTACTAGTAGCCAAGCACTTAACCATTTGCACCACTCAGGGACTCCTTGATGAGTACTAGGCATTTATAACAGGGATGGGAGTGGAGAACTAGAGGGGCATCTAGACTTGCAAGCAAGGAGGGGTGTCAGGGAAAGGCTTTGTAATGAATGACTTGTTTGGGTCTGCCCAGCATCCCTTCCACTGACGAACCAATCCTTCTTAACGCTGTGGGGTTCTTGTGGGGCGACTAATCACAGGACTCTTACACTTTGACCACAGGGGCACTGATCTATTCTATGCCAGAGCCTCTTGACAGGAATATTAATTTGGGATATAGACAAACAGGTACAGAAGGCAGATGGAGGTAAGACACCCAGCAGTCCTACAGATAAGATCCTTGGGTTCCTATTCCTGAGATCCCTGAAGCTGCCCTAGATTTTGAACTTTTTGTGGCCTAGTCTTTTTCCTTTCTTTTCATTGTGTTCAATTCTGTAAACTACCTACATCATCATCCTTTGAAGACAACTAAAAACACCAAAGTTGGTGAGAGTCATTCTCTGTGGCCTACAAACCCTACCCAATACAAACTTCCTAAGAGAATGCCTTAACTGAAGCCTGAATGGTGAGGAATTTGGAAGGGTATACAAAAGAGGCACAAGAAATAACATATACAAAGGCCCAGAAAAGTGAGTACTACCAGCTAATGGTTCCCCAGAAGCTGCAGAGAATGAGAACAAAGCATGAAGGCCAGACTGGATGCTAATAACACCACCACCATCACTTGCAGTGTGGCCTCTGATGACTGTGTTTGGAAAGAAATACCAGGAAAAGTAGGAGATATAATAAGGAGAGAAAACAGGAAGTGTTTTTTGGAAAAAAAAAAAAAAACACAAACTTGGAACTTGAGACAAAAGACCAGGTTTCAAGTTCTGCCTCTGCTGATTATTGGCTCCATAGCCTTGGACAAATATTTAACCCTATGTTCTAAACCCTGGCTACATTTTAGAATTACCTGGGAAGTATTTTAAAACCATGAATAGGGAAGCCTCAAAACCATTACAGAATCACTGGGGATGAGGCCTAGGCCTCAGTGTTTTAAAAAAGATTCCCCACATAATTCTATGTGTGAACCAGTAGGTTAACCTCTTTGAGTCTGATTTTTCTCACCTGTGAAATGCAGCTAATAATGATACCTACTTCAAGTGAACCAATGAGTATGACACAGCTTTGTAAGCAGTAAAGTACATTAAATAAAGTACATTAATTACTGTTACGGCTTTCTTTCTAAACCCAGAAGAGCCTCTTAGGCCCTATGGTCAGCTGAGAGCAGTGAGCCCATCCATTCAATTCTTTGCCAGATCTCTTCACAGTCTTGTGTAGTGAAGAATTAACTTTACCCAAAGAAAGGTTTGGTCTTTGTCCCTGGTTCCTGGGAGACAGCCTCAAAATCCTTGGGAATTCTGGGTGACTGAAGGATCTTTGTTATCCCTGGCAGGCCTCTTGGACCACACTTGAGAGTTTATGCTAATGAATAACTCAGGATGGGGGCTGGCCTGCCAGAAAGACAAACCATCTGTCTAGAGGGTTGGGACTTTTGAGCCACAACCTCCAGAGAGGGAGGGAGGTTGGAGGCTGCGTTCAATCACATGGCCAAAGATCATGCCCACATAATATAGCCTCAATAAAACTCTGGGCATGAGGCTCACGTGAACTTCACTGATTTACAATATTCTGTGTATTGTCACATACCTGCATGTCAGGAGGGTGAAGCATCCCTGGGGATTACAGAAGCTTTGTGTTTGGGACTCCCCAAACTTTGCCCTATGTGTCTTTCTGCCTTTGGATGGTTCTGATTTGTCTTCTTTTGCTATAATAAAACTACATTTTTAATATAGCTCTTTCTTGAGTTTTTTGAGTCATTCTAGCAAATTATTATCCATTACATGTTTTTTGAAAACCATGCAACCTCCTCACACATTTATTTCCTACATGTGCTATGCGCATTATATATGTGTATTATTTGTGTGGGTGCATTATTTGTGAAAATATAATACTGAGCCTGAGAAGGTAGTGGGAACCCCCAAATTTGAAGCCAGCTGCTCAGAAATGAGGATGTTCTAGGGGCCCATGAGTTACTGCTCATGCTGAAGTAAGGGCAGTCTTGTAGGGCTGTGCACTTAACCTGTGAAGTCTGGCCTACAAACTGCTATCCAGTGGTTGGTGTCAGAAACCATCTGCAAGTCCCCTACCTCCATATATATTATCTCCAGTCTCACTACCAGAAACTCTGCTCTAATTTTGGTGACTAACCATCTCATCTTTACTGGACCTTGTATCTTGAGCTCTCTCTACAATGCTCAGATACAGCTAATATAATCCAAATAGCTCACCTGTACAAAGCCTATGTCCCTTCTACTGTCCAATAAACCAAAGAACAATACTTGACTAGGAATTTGTCATTCTAACAACTTGCTCCCTACTCCTACCCGTTTCGTCTCAATCTACT